GCGTGACAAGCCTTCGTCCCTAGCCCGTGAAGACCCCTCGAGGCTCTACCTGTGCAGATATCCAAGGCGTCGTATCTTCCAAAGATTTCCGGAAGGAACGCCTGGCAATCTCGTGTTCTCCATTCCGCGAAATTATTGATGGAAAAAACGAAACGCTCGTTTCGATCGACGGGCATGCGAGATAGAACCAGCTCCGTGGATGAAAAAAGGTCGATTGCGAAAGGAGCGAATGAGAGGGAACAAAATATGAAGGCAGAGGGGGGGAAAAAGAGCAGGCGAAGGGAGAAAGAATAGGGGAAAGAGGCGGGCGGAGCAAAAACCGCGGACGTTACGCGGCTGTTCTTTACGATAGAAGCTCATTGCTCGTAGATTGCGATTTGCCACGGACGTAATGAAGCCACGTCGCTGCTTCTGGCGGCGTGCAAGCGAGTCCAGGCTACTGCCGCGGGATCCCGTGATTGCGATTTTTGATTCGAGAACCTTCTTCTTCTCGACCGTCTATATAGCATTCACGGTAGTTCGTAAATTCTCCGACGGGTTTAGATTCGACCGTTGCCCCTTTAAACGATCGTTTATACAGCGAAAATGATTCGGACACGTTCAATCGTCGACAGCGCGGGGACCGTTAAAATGGCGGAACGAAAAATGCAAAATGGTCGATTCGAGTCGAGTCTTTGGGACGGAGGTATCGTTCGATGATAATTGCTCGAGTATTGTCGGTGCTTGTACTTATGCAAACGTAATTTAAATCCCGAAGAAACGTTTATTAAAGGAGGCAGCCCGCCGACACGAAACCGTTTTGAATTATCACGCTGCTGGCAACAGGTGTAATGACCGTAACTGAATCAATGATGGCCGTCCGTAATAATTCATTTACCGAACCGGGTCGTTTCGTTTCAGATGCCCCGAGCGAATGGCGGGAAGATAAAACAGTCTGCGTTACTGTGGAATAACGACTGGGTTCCGGAAAATTCTTTCCTTCTTTGTTAACCCGCTCACTGCATCTTTTCTGGTACATTCAATAAATATTTTTTTTTTTTCATAAAATCAAGAATCAGTAGTCATTCTAATACTATTTCGAACATTTTTAAAAAGATGCTTATTTTATATTATAAACAATGTTTTTGCTCACGATAAATAACGAACTAGTAGTCACAGTAACATCGTTTCTCTAATGTTTCGATGTCATTTAAACAAGTCTCGTACTGCATGATAAAATAGGCGTCTAATGCAGTAAACAAATGCAGTTAACGGTTTAAAGTAATCCCACTGTGTGACTGACTTACCGACACTTGAATAGAAAATAACAAAGTAACTATTATTGTTAACTTAACACACAACAGTCTGTTGAAACACAACTTTATATTTTTATAATCGTTTAAAGATCCATGCTCACCGTATAACGCAAGCATCACGTGGTAGGGAATTAACGGAAAATCTTACATGAAGAAATGATGTCGCAACACGAGAATCGCGGATCGGTCGAGTTCAATCCTCCTAAGAACCTTCCGTAAACACGTGTTTTACTTCGATAACAACGGAATATTTTTGCGTTCGTTTCGAAACGTTCCAGAAACCTCGAACGACCCCCTCTCCCGACAAAATATTCCCGCAAGCGAAATTCTCGCTGGATGTCTTCTGCATGGAATTCCTCCAAATGCGACGTCGCTGCTGTTTCCAGGGATCGCGAGAGGTCGGTCGCGGTATCTCTTTAAAATTCAGATGAATCTCGTGTGTTATCTCATCGGTGTCGAATGTCCGATGCTTTTATTTAATGTCGTGGATGCATAATTTGCGAGGAACTTGGCGTTTCATGATGCCCACTGCATCGCAAAATCACGTAATATTCCATCCCGCCTGTGCGCTTGTCCATCTTTTCTCCAATCCGACTACTCTTTTTCCCCGTATTTTTTCTTCTCCCTCTCTGTGGCTATTTTTTTTTTCGTTTCGTATTTCATTTTTCTATTCTTTTTCCTTGTTTGTTTCAACAGATCGAAACTGGTGGACAGTTGTGACAACACACAGAGGCGCGAAATGCGGAGTAGAGCGCCCGATTGGTGTATGTACACCTTGTCGTCTCTGGGATGTTTGCGCGCGCGGACCGATGCCGTCATGACAGCTCAGATAACGGGCGTGACGTTTTGAAAAATTGAGGGCAACGATGCGAACAACGTCAACGAAATGCATCCCCCCGATCGTACGTTTTTTCCTTCTCCATATTCCGTTCTATCTCTGTCTTTCTGTCGTGTTCGACGCGGCGCACGAAAAAAAAAAAAAATAAAAAAATAAAAACGCCGAACCGTACACCGGTGCGCCATTAACACGCTCGATATATCCAATTTTGAATTATGGTTCAACGCGACAAAACCATCGCGGTGAGCGCACCCACGAAAGGTAAGATCTATATGGGTACATCGAGAGAGAAGACACTTCGGAGTGTATCCAGTATTCGTGAATGGCTGGGAAATTATCCAAAGACATATTAATCTTTTCAATATTGAATTACCGGCTATACCTGGAGCATAATTGAACTGAGTATAGAAAAATTCTAGAAAACCAATTTGTGTGTTTACCACAGCTCCTGGTTCTGATTAACCCTTGTCTTATGATTTTTCTGATGACCGCACTCTCAAGAATTACGTTATCGTTAATAATTTGTTAGATAGAAAAGGAATTCTATTCTTATGGCCAGACCGCGGAAGTTCATGCAAATTCGCAATTTCTAATATTTATATCTAAACCTTAAAATAGATCGGTATTTTGAATTCTGTATTAGAGACTTTACCACGTTGATATTAACGCAGAAATAGTATTAAACTTTATGAAAATCTATCTTTTATCACATTTTCCAAGTCGGGAGATGCTATAAAGGTATAACCATTCGCAGTCTACTTATGGCAATTGTAACATTTACCCTAAATCTCAAATCTTAAGACCAACAAAACAGTATTTCACTTCGACTCGAAAAAAACGAACTATCTGACTCAATGTTATAAAACACCCTTGTCTACTAACTCCCTAGTTAGTTGAAAAACTGAAAGAAAAGTAAAGTAACGTTCTTATTGTCTGTTGTCTAATTTCGATTGGTTTGAATTAATACTTGCGTTCGGGAATGTCGATCGAAGGGTCTGTATTGACCTGATATTTTCATAATTATTCGATTAATATACGCTAGGCAGTTAATTGTTCGGAGTAAAAAAACAGTGAAGGAGCTAAGGTCCGCGGCCCAGCAAGCAAAGACAGAGATCTCTCATGAAGGAATCCATAATGGCAGGTCGACATTGAGCCGGCGGCAGTCCAAGGAATACACCCGGAGTTATTTAAAAAGCCCGCTATATCCGTTATCTCGATCAGGGAACGCGGAGAGTCGCTTGAAATATTTCTTCCTCCGGTGTTTCGAAGGTCTGCCGTCGTTCTGGAATGGCCGCCACCGGGGAAACAAAGCCGCGCGCGGCGGTACACGCCGTTTTCTTTCGTCTAATTACAACCAGGATGCGCCGTTTTGCATACCTCTCCAGGCGGCCGTTGAAATCACCGAGTCACGCACGACGTAGCTCGAAACTTTCGGCAAGAGTCGTTAGCAGGACGCCATATACATATATGACAAATCAATCATTCATTTTGCTTGGATTAATATAAAGAAGAGAGTACAAACAATGACAAGTGGAAGAAGAATAATAAGAATGTACGAAAGATGGTTACGTGACTGATTGTACACGAAGGGAAGGAGATTCAATTGAGACGTGCATAATGGAAAATGTTCAAGTTGAGTAAAGATGACAAGATGAAATTTTGTCAACGCTCTTGTGGAGATTCTTAAATCATAATATTGTGAAAATGTTCGTCACAGACTACGCTAGATTTCCAGCATTCTATTCAATCGAGTATCCTTATACTTTCGATCGGAAATTAAAAATACAGAAAACAGAAATAATGATTGACACAAAATATAAGGGAATATTGCAGAACTCATTCCACTTTTATCTAAGAAAGTATGCTGACATGGAAATCGGAGCGTCACACAAATGTGACGCTGGTAGCGAGCGTGTTAAAAACATTTCTGAAGAGACGAAATTAAGATCACGTGAGAAAAGTGAGTAAAGTCGTGACAACGTTAAAGAAACGAGAACGTAACTGGTTCGAAATAAACCCGACGACCGTAGGTAGAGTTAACGCATTAACTACCGGACGAACACCTATAAAAATTCTGATAATATCAAAGTAACGTTCTTAACGAAACAGAAACTCATAAGCCTAGATTCATCGCACTGGTTACGCTTTCAATCTTCCTGAATCTCACAGGCTCGAATAAGATAGCATACTGTAAATTTTCGATGTTAGTTCCGCACCGAAAACTGGGTCGCCCATACGTGGGTGACGTGGTCGTCAAAGTATTAAAGTGTACATGAGACATAGGTACCCTCCCTTCCTCATATAAAAAAACATCGTACCACGATGTTTCCCAGATAAAGAAACGTTTAACACAATCAGTTTCTCGACAAAAATGAACTGTTCATTTCGCAAAGTGAACATCCTCTCCCGTTCATTCAGACCCCGTGTACACTCAAACACCATTCATGGAGACGTTCTCCATTCACGGAAGTCTCCGGTTTGATTTTCCGCCGCGTCTCCCCGACTTCCCGTAATTTCCACCGACAATTAAACGCTTCCCGTCACGGGGCGCCGATCCGCGTCAGCTTTTCCATCGTCATTCTTCAAAATGAACTTGCTCGCCAGGCTAGCTGCAGCTAGCTGGCTCGCGCCGGGTGGCCGAACATATCCCGGCGAGCGATCGTCAGATAAAATTGAACGATTAGGCGCAAACGTGGCGTGCGTGCGTCGTCGAGACGCTGTGGGATAGGGTGAAACGATCGAAAAAAACAAGAAAGATCACCGATAGGAAAACCGAGGGGAAGGTGGGAGGTAGAAACAAGGGGTGTTTCGAGTGGTTCCGCGAGTGTCCTCGACGACAGACAGTGGACAAATAAGGAAATACTCACCAGCGAGTCCACCTCCGGATCCGCGATGTAGTATGGTTTCTCTTGTCTGATCTGTAACACACGAGCACACGGTTAAAGAGGGTTTGATAATTAGACTCGGTGGTAATTGCGGTATTAAAACTATAGGAACGATCGTATCGCGAATGCCTCTGCGTACATACACACACATATATATATATATACTCTATATAATTCCCTCGATCTCCGTTCCACGCGCAGAGGATCTTCCTCTTCCAGACAGTCTTTCTCTAAGCGATTTCCTTCGCGTGCTTCCTCTTAATTGGACCCCCACTGTTCAATTCGTCGGTATAGAAACGGAAACGCGTCGGCAAACGCGATGGAATTCTCTCTTTCTCTCTCTGTTTGGCCGCGAGCACTCACGGTGGAGCAACGTTGAGAAGAAGCGAGGAGAGACGTCGGAGAGACGAACCACCAGCGGGATTCTCAAGCATTTTCATGGCGCCGCGTAGTGCCGATCAGAGTGGAAACAAAAGGGAGACCATGCCTCCGACCGACTGGTTGCACAGACTCTTAATTGGACCCGCGAGTTCTTACCGAAGAGGACGCGAGCCGAACGAACGACGCCCGGAAAGAATGAAAACGAGACGACAAATATCGATGGAAATACCCTGGACCAAGGATTGCGCGAGATTTCATTCGATGTGGGAGATTGTATGATTATAGAGCAATTGGTGGGCAAACTGCGACTCTCAAAGCTACTCCGAGCGACTCCAGAGACAAGATTGGGTTTCATTGCTATTTTTCCTAAACTTTTAGATCAATTCATCAGTAATGCGAATTTTCATTGATATTTGTGCAATGGAAAAATATTAACAGGTAAGAAGATTAATAGTTTTAACTATTATAACGTTTTTATACTTCAACTTCTAGAGAGACCAGAGAAAATTCGCATTACTTATGGGATGAGCCAGTATTAACGATCTATAGTAGAGTACCAATATGTACCAATATTAAAATATTTAATTTCTGTGACTCTTGAACAGTCAAAAATTTTGTATATAAAAAGTACTATCTGTGAATCTTATTATCGAAGAACTTGCTCATCCCTGATATAGAGTGAAACGTGAAGGTTTGTTGGCTTTCACTCGTTCACGGTTGAATGTTAGTTTTATTTTGTAATTGACAGCCTCATCTAGATGAAAATTTAGACTTCGGTATTGAGTAATTCTTTGGAATTCACCAGCAGGTATTCTCGATAGCGAATAGAGACCGTTCGATCGGTATTTAAGGATTCATCACGGAGCTCTTTTAGCAGCCATAAACATTATCGTGTTTTTAAACGCAGTGGAGCAACCCGATGCTCTATGGAGTTTGTCTTCAGTCTGTTCTTGAACTTCGGGTGAAGCACAGAAAGTTCAATTCGTTATTTGTTCCGACGGTTTTTTTACACCGATTCCGTAGATTATACATCTATGACGGGTTGATTTGCATCCAATTAGCATTAATGGACGCAGCGATGCATTACGAGTTAAATAAGGCGTGCGGGTTTCACTATACATTTCTTGCGTTACCCAGCGCTATATTCTCGCAGAGGGTTATTACCGATACATCAGTCTCTTAATATAACTAGGCCATAAATATTAAACCTTGTTTGTTATAAAAAAATTGGGTCTGCAAATCTCAGTAAAATCGTCTCTACTACTGGAAAAATTTCAACTATCTTGAAATAAACAGAAATATTTGATTCTTCGTCTGGTAAATTGAAAGAATTTTCAGTAATATTAGGATGATTCATAAGTATTAATTCATAAATATCACGTCATGGAGTGTATCAATAATTATGAATCACCCTAGTAAAAAGATCCTCCTCTAACGCCTTCTCGAACCATCGTACAAACTAATATTAACCTCTCGAATTTCGATCGAAATAGGTTAGAAGAACATTCGATATCGACTTCGGAATATCTTTTCGACTAACTTGAAGGAATATTCGCGTTCTCCGTAACGAATAGAAGAATATTCAGGTCTCAATTCATTCCCGTGACGGCTGGAATATTCAGAAAGGAACCACCACGAACGGCAAAAAAAGAGATCCGAGGCCCGAAGAACGAGTCAAAAGCAAAAATCGAATTACGATCTCTGGAAGAAAAGGGGACTGCGCTGTCCGACTCCGCCGCGAAACAGAGCCGAGATTTCTGAGAACGGGCCCCGTATTCATGAGTCTGAATTCTGAATGGGGGGAGTGTTCCTCTCGCATCGAGTGTATAGGTAATGAAGGCGTCTTCCCGTACAAACGCCGCACAAAAATACTGTCAACTCCTCGTAGGGGAGGGGGACTAGTTCTTGCCCGGGGTCCTGTCACCCGTGTGCTTTTTCGACGATCCCCGAGCGGCCTAGCGCGCGGGCCTGTTTGCAGGTAGCTCAACGTCGATTACAAATTGTAAGCAGACCTCGTCCTCGGGCGTTTTGCTCTCCCCTCCAGAGAAGACGGTTGGATCTTTTGCACTTGCGTCTTGATCTTTGCACCCGTGCGCTGTAATTCTTATCTCGGCCAGTGACGATCAAAGACCGTACCAGTTCGGATTAGCACGTGAGAATTCTAATTGACTAGAGTGCAGATTTTATGCATGTATCGTATAGATGATTGTGCAAAACTCGGTACAGTTGAATTTCAAACAAAGCTCGTCGAGAAAATTATTTTTTGCCGAACCTCATAGGAATAATGAAACAAATAAATTTCTACATAACCTCAATCCTTACAAATTAGTCCAGAAAAATCAATATTTGCATAAACATCCGCGGTCTAGTAAATTACGATCTATCGTATAATTACGATGGCCTTGATTAGTTTCTGAAATAGCGTGGTTTTTCCAAAAAATTACGCAACCAGGAAGGTTTCCTCGATGAAAACCTACATTTATGTATCGAATCAGCTGTAGGTCAGTTGAAAGTCTCTCGTTCATTGCTACCGCCAATTCACTTTCGACGTGTCTAGCAAAAACCATATTCCCCAGGGTAAACGTTTAACACTAAAATCGGTATAAAACACAATGCCAAGTCCCTATTACATCGATCCAGTCTTTACGATCTCACTGTAGCTCAACTGTATTATTCACGCCGTCGTAATATCGATAAAAACTCCACACAGCTCGCCAATCGATATACATATATGCACCACTAATATCTCCCGAAAGACCATTTACAGACACTTCGTGAAAGTCTCCGTTCCGTTGGCGGTTGTATCACACCGATTAGACGTCGGACGACAGGCCAGGGGAGGAGGGACACTTTGTGTGTGACAGCTAATTGAGCCCATGCATATGTATAAACTTATAGAAGCGCCATTAACGCGACGCTATTCTCGGTTTAAATATTCCAGATCGTTCATATTTATCGCGAGCGCTTCGTCCCGGCGTGAATGAAGCGAAAATACACATCCATATTCCCCGCCATGACTGGCCAGTTTCCGTGGCCTCCGCGCGAATTCCGATCATATCCCTGTACCCACAGTGAAGATAAATCGAGAGAAATTCGAATATTTTCCTACCCACGAAAGAGAAAAAGAAGAAAGAAAGAACGAAGCAGCGTAAAACCGTCCAAACGATGGCGGAGGAAACGAGAAAAAATAAATATCGACAGGAGAGCTACGGCACACCAGTTCAGAGATTCCACACAGGTATACAGGGGCGTTAGTTATTCGTGGCCGCACGCGTGAGATAAAAATATTGTGCGATAATATTTAGAGAATGCTCTCTCCCGTGTTCGACCGACATCGCGGTGTGGTGTACGTCTGTTTCGGGGCCAGAGCGTCGATCGAGAGAGCTCACTCGTGGCGACGATCCTGCCGAGAGATATACGAAGCAGCTGGCTTCCGGCGATGTTGCTTCAGCCATCGTTTTCTCCGCCCCGAAAACGCGTTTTCTCTGATCGGAATCGTCGTCTCGGACACCTTCGGAACGAGGTTGTAGCGTCTGTGGAAATTATATAATTCACCGCACCAAACGAGGCGAGAATAAAATAGTCTGCCCTCGTAAGGTGAGCAGATTGTCTCCTCCAACGGTGTCTCTGCGCAGTAAAACGAATTGCATCCCGCGTAAACTTTACGGCACCTTCATCATGCCAGGTTAGGGGCCCGAAGATCGTCCCGTGGAAATATCGAACGGTGCTTTCTTCGTTCCCTCCTGCCCTCTGTTCTGGATAGGAAAAGCACACGCTGTAAAACAATACAACGAAGCCTGTCGAACCGGTGGCTACTATTCAGTCCCTTCTGAGAGACAAGGATACCCTGGGAGGCTCGTTGACTTTCCCCTCTCCAGAGGGGGATTTTGACTTCCCAAATATACCTCTAGCCTGGTGACCTGATCGTGGAGCGATCGTAAAACCGGACGAAAAGGTGCCGGGATACCCAGGCGAACGTCGCGAACATCGTACAGTCGACGGAGTTAAGTCCAGAGAGTGGCAGGGGATTGTAAAAGGAAATTTTCCGTTTATGGCGGTGTTTGGGTGGCTTAATTGCCGCGAGGGACAAATTACCGTTGCTGATGGTTTTTATGCTTCGGGGATAGTTGCACTTCTAGGGGAACTACTCTGGCTTTGGTCTGTATAAACCTATAATTTTGGGTATGATGTTCCGATTGATAGATGGGAAAAGATTGCAGTGTTGTTTTTTTAATGGACGGAAAATTGGATTGGTCCCTCTAACGAAGTTCAAGTGATCAGTAGATTGCGGAACTTTATGGCAAAATAACATTTTTCTGAGTGATTTGTAAAGACAGACGTGAAGATTGGAATGTCTTCCATTTCTTAAGGATTTTATTATGACAAGAATAAGGCATATCATTTATTAGATCTAATGTTATATTTACTATTTATGTATCATATTTCACATAGTCGTATACGCTATAAATACATATAATCCATAGTCTAGCCTGATTAAGCGTTTCTTGCTTCTACGATAAATGAAATTACGCTAACACAGGGAATCGTGGCCTGAATTACAAACATTGCCGAAGCAATCTAGGCATCCTATCGGTACCGATTCCTTTCGATCCTGATCTCAATTTCACCACGATCTGAACATCAAGATCTCA